GCCGTACCTTTTTCTCCTCGGCCTCCCTCACCCACTCCATCAGCTCCCGCCCTCCCATCCAGTTCCTCCATCCTCTCCTTCTGCCGTGCCTCCGCCGCGTTCCCCTCCATCCATCTCCATGCCTCCTCCACGCATCCCCCTGCTGCCAGCGGGTCGGTCTGGCTGCCCCAGTCCCCTCCGGCAGCGTAGGTGGTGTCGGTGGCCCTCTGCTTTCGCCGCGTCTTCTTCTTATCTCCTGCAGTCACCGTCTGGCCGACTCTGTCGTCCCAGGCTCCCTCAGCAGTGCAGGTGGCATTCATTTCTCTTGACGCACTCCCTGCTTCCTTTTCATCTGCTGCGAGCATAAGCTGGGTGGCTCGGTCATCCCGGTCTCCTTCAGCAACTCGGGTGGCCCTCGTGGTCCTTGACTCTTGCCGTTTCCCCTCTTCATCTGTTGCGATTTCCGTCTCCATTCTCCAGCAGTCCCCGCTTCTTGGCAGCGTGGTCATCCCTGGCCACACGGTCAGGGCCCTCGCAGGCCTCGGGGCTGGTGGCTAGGTCTCACTTGAGATCCGGACGGGCTAGAAGGATCACCTCGATGCTCCTGGTGTCTCCCCTGGCAAGCCAGGGCAGTTTCCCCCTCATCGGGCAATTCGCCAGAATGGTGAGGCTCTGCTGTGTCTCCCGTTCTTATATAGAGCAGCAGCAGGGTGACGTCATCATTAACTCATTAAATCATCAGGTGCAAAGATTCAAGGGGGGAGTGATTGTAATTATATACTAGATTAGTAATCAGGCTATTGTTACGATGCGAGTTGTAGATTAGTAATCATTTGGAATGTGTTTTATCGTGATTATGCTACATTAGTAATCAGTTAGTGTTTGTTTCCCTTATAAGGAATTGTAATGTATCTTATTTAATAATACGCTTCCAGGCCGCACTAAGCCTGTAGCTGTCTGAGCGATTAAAGTTATTTCTGTTTCTCTCAATTTCAATCGATTCTCTAATTAGTCTTTGCCAGTAGTAACTAGTTTTACACAACACTTCAACGTTGTCAAAATCAATTGAGTGTCCCTGTTGGCATGCATGTTCTGCCACTGCCGACAGTTGTGTTTGTGATAGTTTAATATTTCTCTGGTGTTCTTTTAGTCTTACACTAACGTTACGCCCTGTCTGTCCAATATAGCATCTGCCACATACACAATTAATCCGATATACACCTTCTGTTGATAATTTAGGTAATTCGTCTTTAGTGCACGTTACTAGTTGTTGAATTTTGTGTACTGTACCAAATCTTACTGTAATGTTTTGCTTTTGCAAAACACGGGCTAATTTGTCAGTTACTCCTGAGATAAATGGTATTTTTATTGTTTTAATAATCTGATCGCTTTCAGCAGTGTTGTTTTGCGATCATGATTTGGCATTTAGTGCTCTGTTAATTTGAGCATTATTGTAGCCATTCTGTCTTAGTGCTTCTTTAACATGTTTAATCTCTCTCACTAGACTTTCACCATCTGACACTGTTTTAGCCCGATGTATGAGCGTCTTGATAAGAGAGGATTTCTGAGCTGGGTGATGATGCGAATCTGCATTCAGATAGGCATCAGTGTGCGTTTGCTTTCTGTAAACGCTGTGTGTTATTTTACCATTTAGGCCATGCCCAAGTAAAATATCCAGGAATGGGAGTGTGTTTTTCACCTCCATTTCCATGGTGAACTGAATGGCCGGGTTTTGTGCATTGAGATGATTTAGAAAATCGTTAAGTGTATCTTTACCATGTGGCCAGACAACCAAAGTGTCATCCACATATCTAAACCAAAAGGATGGTTTTAATGTGCTCGAGGCAAGTGCTCTGGTTTCAAAGTTTTCCATGTACAAATTTGCTATAGCAGGAGATAAAGGAGAGCCCATTGCTGCTCCCTCCCTGACTTGGTTATATTGTTGGCATCGATTACTGATGTCACCCGCACTCAGAGATCAGACAAACTACAACGGCTTCAAAGCAACCAGCCCCACGTCTGATAATTAATCTGCTCAACGCAAACAGAACCAGGACCGTGCTGGCTGAGCGGCACTTTTCCACAGCGGCATAAGCAGCAGTAGCCATGTCGTACTCTCCCTCTCCCACTGCTGCACACTCAGCAGCAGCAGCAGCATCATCCACATTCCAGCAGCAGCTCAAGGCTCTCACCTGTTCAGGCCTTCACCTATTCAGGCTGTCGCCTGTTCAAGATCTCAGCTGCCCAGGCTGTCACCTGTTCACCTTGGCGTACAAGCGACTTTGAGCTCTGGCCTTAGGGTCTCCGAGTTCTCAATAGGTAAATGAGTCAGTTTCTATTCTATTTTGGATTTAGAAAGTGCCTTTCAACAAGGCGCTTGACAATGCTTACCGACTACGGTACGAAATGGCAAGATAAGGGAAGGGGATTAGGTAGTGACGAGGGTAAGGGGGAGGGCCAGTCCGTGCAAAGATTTGAAAACTAAGGTGAGCAATTTAAAGAGGCAGCGGTGATAGGCAGGAATCCAGTGAAGTTGTTGATGGATAGGGCAGCAATGAGAGGCGAAGGGGAGGTTAAAGACAGCGCGGCACGTGCAGCCGAGTTTTGAAATTGGTGTAGAGGGGCAAAGGCGTAGGTAGGGAGACCGACCAGGGGCGAGTTGCAATAACCCAGACGAGTGAAGACTAACAGAGTGCACAAGAAGTTTGGCAGCGGCGATGGTGATGAGTGGGCGAATTTTCCTGGCATTGAAAAGATGGAAGCGGCAACGTGCGAGTGGTGTGATGGCGATGTGGGAAGTGAAGGGTAATGAGGAATCAAAGGAGACGCCAATAATTTGGACAAAAGCCATCGGAGTTAGACTGAGCGGGGGGAAATATATGGAGGGGGGAGTAGGAGGAGAGCGGGAGGCAGGAATCTAGAGCAAGGTGGTTATAGAAGGGTTGAGGGAAAGGTAATCGGAGAAAACTAAGTACAGAACCCTGGGGGATGCCAACCGTGACGGGGGAGGAAGAACCACGGATTAAAGAGACGGTGGATGAACGAAAAGTGAGGTAAGAGCAGAGCCAATGAAGTCACGTGCCAGTGATACCGAAGTTAGACGGAGTGGATAAGAGGATGGAGTGATCAAGGGTGTCGAAAGCCGCAGGACAGGTCAAGCGGAATTAAGACAGATGAGAGGCCCGAGTGACGTAAGTTAACCAAGTGGTTGTGTACGGGGAGGAGAGCAGTTTCGGTGGAATGGAGTGGACAGAAAGCAGACTGGTGGAGGGCGTAGGGAGAGTGAGAAGAGATGTAGGGAGTGAGTCGGGTGTGAACTAGGCGTTTGGAGAAGTGGGAAAGCAAGGAAATATGGCAATAGTGTGCAAGGATGGAAGGATCTCGTGAAGGTTTTTTGAGAATGAGTAGAATGATGGCTGTTTTGAAGGATTTAAAGCTTTCGTGACTGCAGGGATTCATCTTCTTGTTTCTTTCGGTAAAGTCACGTAGAAGGGAAGTAATAAAATAATAAAAATAAAACATAATAAAACAATTCTCACGACGTTTCGGCTACAACGCAAGCAGCCGTCTTCAGGTGAAGAATGAGACACTACCAAACTAGGAGCTTATATATAAGCTGCATTGGGGGTTGAAGAGCGCCTTAACAAAAAGAATGTGCATGTGAAGAGGGATTTAGCATATTCATGGAAAATGCGTAGGCGTTGGGCGGGGGGGTGTCAAAGTCATATTATGCCCATGCATTATGCAGGATCAGCAGCAACCAAGGGGGGTGCAGGGATTAGCAGTAACAAAGGAAAGGAATGTTAATGATATGTAGCTGCAGTTACTCAACAACCACGTAGAAAACTAAAGTATAAACTACATAAAAAACTAAAGTATAAACTGCATCGCACCATCAGTATACTTACTATACTCTATAATAAGCTGAGTTACTAACAGCAAGTAATACATTACAATTTTACCTCGTAAAAATTCTATAATATGCTTCCATCTAAACCTTATTCTCTTACATCACACGAGCATAGGGTAGTGTCTCATTCTTCACCTGAAGACGGCTGCTTGCGTTGTAGCCGAAACGTCGTGAGAATTGTTTTATTATGTTTTATTTTTATTATTTTATTACTTCCCTTCTACGTGACTTTACCGAAAGAAACAAGAAGATGTTTTGAAGGAGTTAGAGAAGATGCCAGATGAGAGGGAAGAGTTGAAGAGAGCTAGGAGGAACCGGCGGATAGTGGGGATGACAGATGGGAGCAAGGAGGGGGCGGTAGGGGATCAAGGGAGGAAAATGTCGGGTGAATTTTGGAGACCAAGTTTGACAGCTCCAGGAGTGACGCAGGGACAAGGTATTTAGAGTAGGGGAAGAATTGGAGGAGGGAGGAGAGGGGCAGGTAGGTATGCTGCTGGCAGGAAGGGAGGTAGTGGGGATGGTAGAACGAATTTGAGAGATGGGGGCAGAATAAATAGCAGTTGAGGATGGTGAAGGATGTGGCAGAGTGTTTCAGGTAGAAAACAGCAGAGCAGGGTGCACGGAAAGGGAAGAAATGAGGGATAGACAATAGGATTGGCAAGCGGCCTCCAGTTCAGAATTGAAATCGTAAAGTACCGAGATGTAATTCAAGTCGGAATCAGTAGTGGGTAGGGTCTAAACATGCGCGCGTTATAAATCGTGTTTATTATAATATATCCCTTCTCCAAAGAGTGTGAATATGAGCCCTGATAAACTCAAAAGGCATTTGATAATAATACTGCCCTAAAAGGAAAACACATATACGAGTGTCGCCCAGAAAGTAATGCCCCACTGGCATGAAACACACACACGCTCTCGCTTCTCAATGGCATAAGAGTCATTGGGGTGGAAGAGAGATTATGTGGAAGAGTAGTGATGCGCATGTACGGGAAGGTTTCACTTATCTTCAAAACATTTTGTCCAATAACAAAGAAAGTGGGGCATTGCTCTCTGGACAACCCTTGTGTGTTGTACCTAGCACGGTTCGTGCGACCTCACGAGTGACCCTCACCTGGTGGAGGGTCCACATGAGGCGGCCGTACGCCACCACGATGACGAGGAAGGGGATGGCGAAGCAGAAGGCGAAGTAGCTCGTAATGTACGACACGTTGGCGGGGTCGCGGCTGTACCAGTCGGGCGCGCACGACGTCCGCACGCCCTCCAGCTCGTAGCTGCCCCAGCCGAAGAGCGGCGGCGTGTTCCACACGAACGACCAGAGCCAGGCCCAGGCGATGCCCAGCAGCGCGTGGCGCCGCGTGAACATCAGCGTGCCCAGCGGCTTGCACACCACCACGAAGCGGTCGACGGCGATCACGGCGATCGTGCACAGAGCGGCGATGCCTGCGGACCGAGGTGGCAGAGGGGAGGAGGTGAAGATGGGGAGGCGTAGCGGAAAGGGGGTCAGTTGGGGGCCATGGAGTGACGAGCAAAATCCCATCATAGCACAGGCAAGAAAACCGCATATTTCCAATTACACGCAGGGAAGTGTATACAAAAATCACGGTCACTGTGCATTGTGTATGTGTATACGTTGCACTTCTTTTGCACCGTATGTAGCCAACCGTGCTAATCTGATATGCGTGGGGACAGGACAGCAAACTATACACAAAAATAAGTTCCAAAGAAATTAGTTTTTAATCTAGATTGTAAAGTGCATAGCTCCATACTCTTTGGGTCTTTCGATCAAATCACGTAAATAGAAATAATAGATCACGACGTTTCGATCGCAACACAAGCATCCTTCACCATCCCTCACCATCCTGAACTATTTCTGAAGACGATTGCTTGTGTTGCGATTGTGTTGCGATCGAAACGTCGTGATCTATTATTTATATCTCGGTGACTTTACCAAAAGACCCACAGAGTATGCATTCCTGCAGTCACGAAAGCTGCAAATCAAGATTTGCACAGCTCCAGTGGCTTCCGAGTATCAGAAGGAAGAGCGTTCCAGACGGCCGCAGAAGCGCATCTGAAAGTGTGCGATGGGGTGGCCGTCTTTGTTCGATGGCTATCCAACAGCCGCTGCGAGGATGACCGGAGTTCGTGTGATGGTTTATGTTCCTTGACAAGATAAGCAGGGCAGTGGTTAATTTGTGGCAACTACTTTGTGTGCAATGAGTGCGACCTCATCATGTATTCGTTTGGCAGCCGGAAGCCAATGCAGCTCAGCGAGCACTTGGAAGGACATGGTCGGATATTGGCAGAAAAATAAAAAGACCATCAGCAGTTTCTGAACTGCTATGCGACATCCTCTTGTCTGGGATCACCAATGTAGCAACGACGACGGCTACTGCCGCAATTGCGGAGTGGTGGGGTGCCGGGGAAATGTAAAATCTCACCGAAGAAAGCGACGGCGAACCCTTCGATGACGCAGCCGACGCGGCCGAGGTTGAAGTACCCGACGGCGTTGGTCTCCACGACGAGGCTGGCGCCGAACACCGTGACGCCCAGGTCCGCCACGGCGAGGTTGACGAGCGAGAAGTTGAGCGGGTGGCGTAGCTGGCGGTGGCGCAGGGTGACGATGACGACGGTGCTGTTGAGCACGAGCGAGGCGATGGTGAACACGGCCATGATCACGGCGAGGATGGTGAAGCCGTAGCGGGGCATCAGCGGGACCTCGCCGTTGGGCAGGAGGTCGAGCGAGGTCAAGTTCTCCATGGCTCTGGGAGAAGGTCGCCGTCGTCACGGGGAGAGAGAGTGTCATCATCGACCCCCACCGTCAGCAAGGGTGGGGACATATTTTCTGGTGCTCTGCTCCCAGGCAGCTCCCTGCTGTCACTAAGCCCTGGTGGTCCGTCGTGCGTGTGTCAGCGAGGCCATCGCGATCGTGGCCGTCAGAGTTGTCACAGTCATCAGCAGCACCGGTGGAGGTCGCCTGCTCGTCACTCGAGTCAACATCGCAACGACGGTGCCACCCGTCAATGACGAGTCGCGCAGCGCCGCGTGCCCTGGGACTCGCGTCCGCTGCGAGCGCTCTCCGTGGAGTCGCTCGTCGCTACTCAACTCATATCCATCCGCACGAGAGAGTGAGCAATGACCATCATCATCTTGTTCACAATTGGCAACAACATCCGAATCACAGTATAACATTAACATCACCCACGATCATAATCAGTGTCTCCCATCAGGATCTCCATTATCATTACATTATCATTAGCAATGGAGAACACGAGACAAAAAAATCGAAATCATGGCACAAAATATTATTACAAACGATGAGTTACAACCGCATCTCGACCTTTGTTACACAGGTAGGGGCGTAACAGAAATCAAGTGGCAATGGGGCATGGTACACGTCGTGAGAACAGCTAACGAGAGATGAGAGGAGATCAACTCCGGAGCGAAGAGCGAGAGAAGCAGAGAGAAGACAGCGGGAGAGACGGCATCGCCGAGTTCGGAGGAGGTCCGGCGCTAGGCGGGTGCTGGCGTGGGTCCTGCCCCACCACTTGGGCCCCTTGGGCCCCCACCCAAGTTCCCTCTTCTTAGCGGCGAATCACTGCTCGGTGGCCCCCCACTCAAGAGCCCGACTGCCTCCTACCCCCCCCCCCCCCGAGAGGAGTTGGAGCCAGGCCTTGTTTGGAGGCCACCACTGGACAGGCGCAACGAAGGGAAGTGAGGAATGGCACAAAGTTAGGGATGCTTTGGCCAGCAGTGGCACGTTACATGCCGGTCAGGGTTGGTGGATCACACAGAGACGGGAGTAACGCGCCCGTAGCAGGCAGCGCGGCAGAGTTTGTATGAGACACCCACCTGCATGGTAACGCGCCCGTAGCAGGCAGCGCGGCAGAGTTTGCGGTGCTTGTCGACTGGTCCAAGTTTTGTGTTGTGAGTAATTTCTGCTCCAGGGCATTCTATTTGTTTCAACCCGAGTCACCAAAGTATGGGCGGCAGGGTGGTTGTCCAGCGATAGCACTGGTGCCTCGCAGCGATTCCCAGCTCGAGTGCTTTGGCGGAGCGTGTTTTAGCGGAGCGTGTTTTCGCCCCGTTTTGCATGGGTTGCGGGTTGCCTCTCATAGCAGCAACAACCAACACACACAATCGAACTGGCTTTGGTCAAGTAACCCAATACTTCATGGGACCTCCTTTGCCAGTGTCAAACATAATAGGTCTCCCCCTTTTTTCTGGCAACAAAACAGGTGTTAAGATGTTAAAACACCAAACTGAAACCTTTTGCAAGGAATCATGTCTGCATTAACCAGATACAGATAATGCATGTACTGTCAGAGCATGTTTTTTGTTTGTATTTTCACAAGTATCTGTGGTTAATGCAGACATGATTCCTTGCAAAAGGTTTCAGTTTGGTGTTTTAACATCTTAACACCTGTTTAAAGCTTTCGTGACTGCAGGGATTCATATTCTTGGTTCTTTCGGTAAAGTCACATGAATTTACCGAAATAACCAAAAAATCTTGACACCTGTTTTTGTTGCCAGAAAAAAGGAGAAACCCTATTCTTATAACCCAATGCTGAAAATCACCTGCCAAATTACTGAATTAGGATTCCAGATGGCAGGGCCCTCCTGAGAAAATGAGTCTTGGGACTCATTATTGAGGCTTTCGCGGGTTAATACGCATTATCGTAATACACAAGGCAGCAGTACTGGCTTCTCTCATCTCTTTTTATGTCCTCCATAGTGCTCTTCGTTAACAATCTTGACTTTCTCTCTCTCCTTCTCACTGTGCCCAATTTCGTTTTTGATCTTTCTCCCTCCTTACACCCCCTCCGCTGGAATCAATGTCCCCTGCAAATTGAGCAGTCGCCCTCCTTTAATTCCTCTCGTAAAGCCACCCCCCCTCTTCTCCATTGCCCATTCCCTCCCCTCCGTCCCGTCCCTTCCCCTGTAGCCCTTTCGTGACCCCATGTGCCCTCGGTTACGGTCACTCATTGCTCGGCCCTTGCCATCTGTCTTTGTACATCTTTAAACGATGTAAAGCTCCTTGAGCTATGGGCGCTCCATAAATATAAAATAACATCAGAGAATCGGAAAAATTCACTTTAAAAAATTCAGCAATTTACAATGTGAAATCCAAAATATACACGAATAAGTTAAGGTGTCAAGAGAATGGCTCACTAGACTGCCTGACTTTGTACGAGTCGTCTTCACACATTGACATACGAGATTCAAATTGTCATTGCAGAAAAAGTGGGAGAATTTTAATATATTGTAAATCCTGTTATTTTACATCACACAAAATACCACCAAAGAACGGAATTCCACTGGTTGAAATATTCTGCTGAAGGGTCGAATTAGCATGGTTGGCTACGTACGGCACGAAAGAAGTTCAACATACAAACGTACATAACGTAGTTTCACGTCTGCGCCGATTCCAAACAGCTAGAAGGTAGGTAAACGATGAACGTTGGCTTACCTTACTTGACGAACAGACGATCTTCGAATGAAGCACCGAGTTATAAAATACACTCACTCGTCACTCACTCGTCACTCACTCGTCACTCACTCGACTGCGGTTGGATCGAGCGATGTGCAGAGTTGGTTTCACGTTTTATTTTAGTGACAAAAAAAACAACAGCGATAAAAACCACAAAGCAAGAATAATTTCCAACCGTTGCACCACGTAAACTGAACAAGTCACAACACAATACCGATGCTTATATTGCAAACGCAACGCAATACGGTCTGTCACAGTATATTGATATTAATTTTCAAGATCCCGCACAGTCCCACTTTTTGCTGGGGGACACCCACCAATGCGATAGGCGGGACGAGACGCGTGGCATTTTATAGATGGGAATTGGTGGCACTGTGCAAAATAAAGGTGGGGGGGGAAGAGACGTAAGGCATTTGCTGATAAACCCCAATCTTATTTGGCACGGGAGATTTAATCCAGATGATCTTGACTTATGTCCGCCCTCCTGACTCCCGAGCTGCAGCTCCGTAACCCTGTAGGTGCATCGCTCGAAACGGATATTCCGCTGCTTAATTAACAACTCGGCCGGGTTGCAGGCGGCTCGCTGACGATGCCCGGCGTGCGTGCCCCCCCCCCCCCCCTCTTGCTTTTACGATGGCGCCAACTTCAGCGAAAGCGCGGCCGGTGGCCGTGGCCATTCGAAGCACTCCACTGACGAAGGCGACATCGTCGTCGCGTTAAGAAAAACAATAAACACCGCAAGACGAGGAGGCACTGTACTCGCCGTGAGTTGGCGAGATGTGCAAAAACAAACTGTCGGGAGGAAACACGGCGCGACACGCACACGCGATAATTAATTGTTGCAATGAACGCAGGGAGTGCAAAAATTATATGCGTATCATTTAAAACAATGGTTTGGCAAAATGTAAAACGATAACATGGCAGTGCATGGCATAAAATAGATTACATACACAGAAACGTACAGTTTTACTACGTACATTGAAAGTCACGCTTCAATATATACATGCCACTCCTGTATACATTGAAATATTATCGTCAATGTCTGTAGTGCAGTGTTTGATCTGTACAGATATGCTAATGCATGTTTTGCTTTGTTCATAACATTCGATTGTAAAGGATACGAAAATTAAGAGAACCCGTATCGTTTAGAATCTCGCAAGTCAGTAAATAAACAAGGACCATCAATTCCTGTCGCTGTGACCCTGTGGCCATTTTAATGCCGACGCTCAGGTCACGGAATATTCAGATTAATTCCGCATCTCCAGCGCAACGCGGAATAATCCGGGGCGCTCAAACCGATTTGCGCGCCCCATATTCTGCATTGCTGCAATTTTTTTTTTAATCGCGACGCCTTCATTATCCAGAATTAAGAATGCTTCAGATCTTAATCTATTCCTTTCATCGGGGAATTAATGAGCCAGCGAGCGGGGATACAGATGAGTGGCGATGATATTCAACCGCTCAAAGTTGAGCCACTCAACCAGTAATCAAGTGGCACGCTCTACGTTACTGCTCTCCCATTGGACAGTGGTGATATTGGGCCAAACAGACTCCTTCCATGTACTGAAGCCAATGCGAAGATGAACAGAAAAGTCGCGATAGGTAACACAAAAATGCATCACTTGTAAAAAGGCCGAGCGTGATCTCCGAGTCCACTTTGAAGAGTCGAACGAGCCGTGCCAATTATTCCAGATTTACAATAATTAACAGGAAAGATTAGTTTAATTGCCAAACAAAATACCTATTAAAATAGAAGTTCCATCGACCAATAGGCCTTCTGAAACAATGTTAACCCAAGAGCAATTGTGTCGAGTGGAAACCCTGCACCGGTTTCCACCTCTCCAAGTCTCATCAAAAAGGCGTTGCCTGGAGTCTTATGCTACGTCCCCACAACCACTCAACATCTGGCTGCGCGGTTTGTGAAGCGAGCACGTGGACCTGGCCCAGATTCCCACGGTGGCCCAATCGGGCCACGCCAGCATCAACCGGGCTGTGCGGCAAACTAACACGGGGTTAACGCAAGAGATGCGAGGTCACGGGGTCAATCGTGACTCTCATCACCTAGGTCAACTTCAGGGCCATGTATTTTTCTCTTTAAAACAGCATGATTTGCTTCAACTATATATATAAAGTTCACTTAGGGTGGCATAATGTAACCCACGCATGCGATAAATATTAATACATAAATAACATTGCTTCTCTCCGGGCATGGGAGGGGATGAAGCGTAAGAGAGAAGCCTCTGGATCTGCGTGGCTCTATAAGCATTGGGAGAAGAAACGAGCTGCGTTGTGTTAGCATTACAAACTACCTCTGCTTTCAACGTCCTATAAACTCGCTCAATCTCAAGAAACGTATTCATTATTGCCTGCTGGTTGCTATCGTTCGTGATTTTGTGCTGCGTTGCCACGGATCTCTCCGTTGCTGTTCTGGGTCCACTTCTGGAAGAGCCCAGCAACAGCTCCGGTCTGTTTCCAGCGGTTGTGAAAACGCAGCAATAGGTGATGAAACTGATGCTTTTCGTGCATTATGTTAATGCTGACGTGCACCCCCATAAGTCAATGGGGCAACTGGGTAATGTCGGAATAACTTTACATTTGATGTGGAGGGAGACATTGTCTGCTTATCCATCATGTGAAGATGGTGCGATTGAAAAACACTGGCTTATTCAGCCATAAACATACAGTAGCGCTCAAATAACACAAGCGTGATAGTGAAGGGAGTTCAGTGTAATGACAAGGGGATGTCTGTGCCAGGCATGTCACAACCTCGGCGATTCTATGAATTGTCACGATTCTGGGTCACAATTTGATTCACCAATTCGCTTTGCTTTGCTCGTTTAGTCCGTCTCGTTCGTTCCATTATCTCAAAGGTAGTTATGGCACCTTCGATTAGCACGGTTGGCCTCATATGGCGCAAAAGAAGTTCAACATACGTAAGACATTTAATTCACACGTGACTCACATGTACATGAAGAGCCCGTTTGTCAATCCACTGCTGGATGAGGGCCTCCCCATGGCATGCGGGTCATGGAGGGGGCGGACGGTTATTCGACCATACTTCCCCAAGCTGGTCAGTGACGGCTTGTAAAGGCAAGAGACGTGGATGTTGTTGCACTGTCTCTGCTGCCCATCACGTAACACCCCCCACTGCCCTTCACGTAACCCCCCCCACTGCCCATCACGTCACCCCCCCCCACTGCCCTTCATGTAACCCCCCCCCACTGCCCATCACGTAACCCCCCCCCACTGCCCATCATGTAACACCCCCCCACTGCCCTTCATGTAACACCCCCCCCACTGCCCTTCATGTAACACCCCCCCCACTGCCCATCACGTAACCCCCCCCCCACTGCCCTTCATGTAACACCCCCCCCCCTGCCCTTCATGTAACCCCCCCCCACTGCCCATCACGTAACCCCCCCCCCACTGCCCTTCATGTAACACCCCCCCACTGCCCATCACGTAACCCCCCCCCCACTCCCCTTCATGTAACACCCCCCCCCCTGCCCTTCATGTAACCCCCCCCCACTGCCTTCATGTAACCCCCCCCCACTGCCCATCACGTAACCCCCCCCACTGCCCATCACGTAACACCCCCCCCCCCACTGCCCATCACGTCACCCCCCCCCACTGCCCATCATGTAACCCCCCCCACTGCCCTTCACGTAACCCCCCCCCCACTGCCCTTCATGTAACACCCCCCCCCCACTGCCCATCACGTCACCCCCCCCCCCACTGCCCATCATGTAACCCCCCCCCCACTGCCCATCACGTAACCCCCCCCCACTGCCCATCATGTAACCCCCCCCCACTGCCCATCACGTCACCCCCCCCCCACTGCCCATCATGTAACCCCCCCCCCACTGCCCATCACGTAACCCCCCCCCACTGCCCATCATGTAACACCCCCCCACTGCCCTTCATGTAACCCCCCCCCACTGCCCTTCATGTAACACCCCCCCCCCCACTGCCCATCACGTCACCCCCCCAACTGCCCATCACGTAACCCCCCCCCACTGCCCATCATGTAACACCCCCCACTGCCCTTCATGTAACCCCCCCCCCACTGCCCATCACGTAACACCCCCCCCCCACTGCCCATCACGTCACCCCCCCCCACTGCCCATCACGTAACCCCCCCCCACTGCCCATCATGTAACACCCCCCACTGCCCTTCATGTAACCCCCCCCCCACTGCCCTTCATGTAACACCCCCCCCACTGCCCTTCATGTAACACCCCCCCCACTGCCCATCACGTAACCCCCCCCCCACTGCCCTTCATGTAACACCCCCCCCACTGCCTTTCATGTAACCCCCCCCCACTGCCCTTCATGTAACCCCCCCCCCACTGCCCATCACGTAACCCCCCCCCCACTGCCCTTCATGTAACACCCCCCCCACTGCCCATCACGTAACCCCCCCCCACTGCCCTTCATGTAACACCCCCCCACTGCCCTTCATGTAACCCCCCCCCACTGCCCTTCATGTAACCCCCCCCCACTGCCCATCACGTAACCCCACCCCCACTGCCCTTCATGTAACACCCCCCCCACTGCCCTTCATGTAACCCCCCCCCACTGCCCTTCATGTAACCCCCCCCCACTGCCCTTCATGTAACCCCCCCCCACTGCCCATCACGTAACCCCCCCCCACTGCCCTTCATGTAACCCCCCCCCACTGCCCTTCATGTAACCCCCCCCCACTGCCCTTCATGTAACCCCCCCCCACTGCCCATCACGTAACACCCCCCCACTGCCCTTCATGTAACCCCCCCCCCACTGCCCATCACGTAACACCCCCCCACTGCCCTTCATGTAACCCCCCCCCCACTGCCCATCACGTCACCCCCCCCACTGCCCATCACGTCACCCCCCCCACTGCCCATCACGTACCACCCCCCCACTGCCCTTCATGTAACCCCCCCCCACTGCCCATCACGTCACCCCCCCCACTGCCCATCACGTCACCCCCCACTGCCCTTCATGTAACCCCCCCCACTGCCCATCACGTCACCCCCCCCACTGCCCATCACGTCACCCCCCCCCCCCACTGCCCATCACGTCACCCCCCCCCCCACTGCCCATCACGTCACCCCCCCCCACTGCCCATCACGTCACCCCCCCCCACTGCCCATCACGTCACCCCCCCCCCCCCACTGCCCTTCACGTCACCCCCCCACTGCCCATCACGTCACCCCCCCCACTGCCCTTCACGTCACCCCCCCCCCCCCCCGCCCACTGCCCATCACGTCACCCCCCCCCCACTGCCCTTCACGTCACCCCCCCCCCCACTGCCCTTCACGTCACCCCCCCCACTGCCCATCACGTCACCCCCCCCCACTGCCCTTCACGTCACCCCCCCCACTGCCCATCACGTCACCCCCCCCCACTGCCCTTCACGTCACCCCCCCCCACTGCCCATCACGTCACCCCCCCCCACTGCCCATCACGTCACCCCCCCCCCCACTGCCCTTCACGTCACCCCCCCCACTGCCCATCACGTCACCCCCCCCACTGCCCATCACGTCACCCCCCCCCCACTGCCCTTCACGTCACCCCCCCCACTGCCCATCACGTCACCCCCCCCCACTGCCCTACACGTCACCCCCCCCCACTGCCCATCACGTCACCCCCCCCACTGCCCTTCACGTCACCCCCCCCACTGCCCATCACGTCACCCCCCCCCACTGCCCATCACGTCACCCCCCCCCACTGCCCATCACGTCACCCCCCCCCCACTGCCCATCACGTCACCCCCCCACTGCCCATCGTGTAACCCCCCGCTGCCCCTATGACAAGCTGTTTGCATTGTGATCACCGATCCAAGCACCATACAGGCTCACGCCTGCTTAGCTTTGCGCGATCATATGAGGTTGGGAGCATGCCGGGTGTTCTGGTGGGGGGCGTGGTTTACTTTGTAGAGCAATCATTCCTACAACAACTCACAGCCTCAACTTGCTTTTAATTATTATTCTTTTTTAACTGCATATATTTGTTTATTTTTACGTTTAACGATTTTATGGCGCTATGGGTGGCCGACAGGCGCCACTAGTTAAGCAAAAGATAATTGACTCAACGACTCGTGATGATGATCTCTTGTGTTGTGATCGAAACGTCGTAGTTTTTTGTTATTTTCTTTGAACCTATATCTACGTGACTTTACCGAAAGACCCAAGAACATGAATTGCTGCAGTCACGAAAGCTTTAAGTCAAGATTTACTTTGCAGGGTTCGATGCGTGTGACGTGCGAGTCAATACGAATTGATGAATTCTTACAACCCGAGTCAGTGCTGTATCATTCTATGGTTAAGAAGTGTTCATTTAATGCTATACAAGTATTGCCATATTTGGGAGTACGATGGGTAAAGCTCTGCGTGTGAGAGTGTCCCTGTCTGCGTGTTTGCGTGTGTCATCAGGTTTCACACTTTAACGTCCGTATCTCCCTGGTTTTTGTTACCACATGTGGGTCTCCCGGACTTCAGAGATGACCTGGTTTGCTCGTTGCAATGCCTGTTAAAAGAAAACAAAAGAGATAAATAGACAGTGTAGTAAAGTACGACAATAAAATCGACTGCGTACCTTTTCGCGGTTGTGCTCCTGTGTGGCTCTCAGATGTTTTTGGGCTGTACCACGTGTTGTCCAGTGCGATGTCCGACGTTTAATTCTACTTGCTGGGAGGCTTCTTCGGGAACTGAGTTGAGCGCTCACTCTCTCTGTTGCAATGTTCGGCTCACGTTAAATAATAACATGGCATAGTATTTGCATTATGTAAACCATAATCTAACACAACTATTCATTGTTTCGAAGTGGATTTTAAAATATCAACTTTTGCTCTCAACGGGCCCTTAAATGGTTCTGGGAGTGGACTCGTCTCGTCGTCGCTGTCGTCTTTGCCGCCTTTGTCGCTGCCGCCTTCATCTGATAATTGTGCGGCCGGACAGTTGTTGGCTGTCTCGGTTGACGCCGTCGGTGCCACGCGGTCAGGGTTGTGTCTAGGCCGGGCTGTACGGCAAAGTGGTCGAGATAGGAGGTGATCCTCTGAGTGTGAGCGGCCGCAATGGTGTAACAGAATAAAAGAGAAGGTGCCTCCTGCAACTACCTCGTCTCCGACTGTGTGCGACACACACACCGACCACTACACATGCAAATTGGTACATCTACAAAATAAAATGGAATTGAGAGCAACGATGGATGGCACAGGTTGGGCGGCTGCCCGGCACGTCACCTGCAGCATGCAGAGGGCTTCGTTACGGCGCTGGGCGATGTCCTCAGACTCCACCAGAAGGTCGCAGAGGATATGCGGTGTGTAGAGCTGCCCTACCAGCTCACTCTGCAGATGATCTGTGGGATGCACATGGAGACATACGGATACACAAACCAAATTGGGGTCTCCCTACCTAGCCTGACACGGACCGCTGGGGCGAGTACTGTGAGCGAGCAACAACTGAGGTCCCCACACACACAGAGACACGCAAGACTGAAGTCCCTCTTCGGCATGGTACACTATAAGGACAAGTGTTGTACGTGAGCACCAAAGACAAAGGTCCCCCCCGATAGCCTTAACAGATTATTGGAGCAAGTGCTATTAGCGAACACCTATTCATGCCGGCACGGCATACGAGGGGTTGGGTGGCCAGCACCACACCCGGGCGCCTTTGTCTCCCAAGTTGCAATGTTTACACACCACATCAGGTACTCATTTGAGGCTGAGTAGACCTAGGGGAGGCTAAGGACCGGTTCAGATACTCGTCACTGGTGTTGGCCATGGGCCGGAATCAAACTCGGGTCGCTAAGTGTGTAGTGCAGCGCACTAACCATTACACCACCACTCCCACAGTGAACACCTAACACACGTACGTACGCACACCTGTTGTGCAAACTCATTTGTGTTGAACAGCTACAAGAAAAGAGCAGTTCACATTTTGTCTTAATTTCTTTTTTGCAAATGCTAAAATGCAACTTTGCATGCAAAAGGCGTTAAAATGCAGTCATCATTTGAATGTAAATGTTTACCTTTGACAAAATTCACCAGGAAATTCATGACGGCTTTCGGAACACTAGGAACACAAGAATAATTAAAATCAATCAATTCTCCACATCTACGTAATTTAATTCCTCCAAAAGGTCACTTGGAAGCAAGGTTGGCTATGTACGGTATAAAATAAGTTAAACATACATACGTACT